GTGTGGAAATCTGTCAATAAATCCCAGCTACTCATGAAATCGAGGAGATTATGTTAGCTTATATTGGAATCGCGCCCTTGGTGCTTGTCACAATCCTCGGCGGAGGTTAAATACGCCTATAGAAAGACTTTATACGGTTAACACAATTTCCATGATTTAGTCTTTGGCCGGGGATTGAAATTGAAGGCCATACAATTTTCTTTAAGAAGGCAAAATATGAATTCACTCCATAGAAAAAATAGATTGTAATTCACAATATAAACAACATCCCAAGGAGCCATGGGCTGCATGTGGGATACTTAAAATTAATCGCGACCAGGTCTTAAACTTTATTTTTCATTCACCTAAAACCGCCAATAACCCAAGAATACACTAATTCATTAAATATTCCTCAAAGAACAGTTCTTGACAAAAATAAATTAATAATTGTTTTTGTTTATTTTTGTCAAAAACTTATTGTCAGCATGACAATTTAATTTCTATAACAACAATGTTGTTTTTATAATATATTTGTTGTTGTATCTGATGCATACACCTTGATTCATACATATCATTCATACATTAACAAAAATTACAAAATTCAGATAAAATTTATTACAGCACAAAAAGGCATAAGAAACCAGAAATGAATATAGGGAAAGTAACAGTTTATTTCGTAGTCTTATTAACCCATTTGAAATGTAGAGAAATCGAAGCCAAAAGTTAACAAATTTTTTTTTACTAGAGTTTACTGGGCATGTTCAAAGGTGTCCCACCTGTGGCATTTTACGGAAATTTATAATAATTTTTTTAGTAGATAATTGTTCTGTTCCCGTACTGCAAGAATCTACAACTTTTTACTACGATAACGAATTTTCCTTTATGATATCGAAGAAAATAGTAAAATCGAGTAGATTCTTGCAGTACGGGAACAGACCAAATATATATGAAAGAAAATACATTAGTCATGTTTTTGGTTTTATTAGTTCTTTTTTTTAAGAAAGCATAAGTTAGTCTGTGGTCGTTTTGATTTAACTTTCCCGACATTGATTATAGCAGCAGTAAAAAGACCAAAAACCTGTTTTTTGTTCGTTCGTTCCCACGCCTCTCACACCCGCCCCTGCCGACCGAGGGGGCTACCTCCCTATACGCAGGGAGCACGTACACACCAAAGACCGGACTAAGGCGGGTTGGTAGTGGTTTAACAACACCGGCTACAGATAGATCATCAGCCGGCAATTAATAATAATACAACAAATATAAATTAGAATTAGATACATTAAACAGGCATTACATTAACATGCATTAAACAGACAACAGTAAACAAAAGCTACAATATAAAATAAAATTTGGCAACTGCTGCTCAAATTTCAGGGTCTACTGTTTCCAAGCCCAGTATAGAATTCTTGATAGCATGCAATGGCTACTTAGGCATATAACATTACTTATGCTATATATATATATGTAATTAGTTCTCGCGATGGACAATTTCAACGGTTCAAAATTACGTGTTGTTCGAGAGGGAACATTAAAAATTATTTCTCCCGTAAGAAAAGGTGAATCGATCAGACCACGTGTTAATTTAATAATAAATAATGCTCTTAACATGAAACGTCTTTTTTCTAGTGTTGGAAGATTAATTAACAATAAGCGACTTTTATAAGGTGGAAGTAATTCCGATGGGTTCCATTTTAGGCCACGCAAGGCAAAGATTAAGAACTGAACTTGAACTGACTCAATTTTATCACAGTGACATTTATAAAACGGACTCCAAAGAATGCAACCATATTCTAGGACTGGGCGGACAATACTAACAAATAATCTTTTAGTAACATAAGGGTCATAAAACTCTTTAGACCAGCGTTTAATGATTCCTAATAAAGACTTGGCTTTATTAACACAAGAATCGATATGAAGATGAAACCTTAGTTTAGGATCTAAGATGACGCCAAGATCATATGCGAAAACAGCTTGACATCATCTGCATACATTAGTATTTTGGAATAAAGAATGGAATTCGGAAGATCATTTAGATAAAGAACAAACAATAACGGACCCAAATGACTTCCTTGCGGAACTCCAGAGGAAACAACAATATCTTTAGAAAAGGAATCACTGAACAAAACTTTTTGGAGCAGGCAATTGATTACCTTCAGGAATTACACTTCCCATATTGGAGGGGCAATTTGCCACTATAGGCTAGTACATACTAATTAAGTTATCTGGACCTAGATTTGATGAACTGGAACCACTAGCAATATTAACTGATTTTTTCCTTTTAGGGGAGCAATCGGGAAGTTCAAACTTAATGAATATTTTTTCGATTTTTTTCAAAATTTTGATAAATCGAATTGAAACTTTTTTTTTAAATTTAAAATTTCTGAACTGGTTTCCTTAAAAAGCCGATGAAAATTTACCTCTAGATCCCTACATTCTAAGCAAGACCAACGGAGACCTTTAGACTTATCCGTAATAATGTCAAACTGCCTACCATTAAACCCGGCACATTTAACATGCATGTAATTATCACAAACATAACACGCAATAAGACGTTCGTTAACGTTTTTAATATTGCAGTCTTTAAAAGAGCAAGCCATTACGAATTAAAAAAAATTATAACCGCCTGAAAGTATGCTTTAAAAACGAGAAGTTATTTGATATGTAAAATGATAGCAAATTAATTAACGTAACCGCCTGAAATTATGCTAAGGAAAGCAAATTTAGTACTGACAATCAAGTGGGGAATATAAAACAAATGTCAAAACTAACAAAAGCAGCGAAGGAATAAAATAAACAAGAAGGAGAAATAAATACCAAAATACAAACCAAATACAATTTTTGGAAAAAATTTGGAAAAACAAATGAACACTAAAAACACTTTTTAGAAAAAAATTCACAATTTCCAAATTAAGAATATTAAATTTTGTTGAAAAACACTAATAAACACTTAATACGTCACTACAGACACGTTTAAATGAATAATTATTAATTTGGTTTAAAAGACACGCACAAAACACTTCTATACGAGCAGAGTTGCCAAATATCTTCTGTTGTATCGGAAAAAACTGCAAAGTCAGAGTAAAGATTTTTTAACGACCCTCTAAGTTGAACAGAGGTCGACTGAGAACGTCTGATCAAGTACGACGAATGCTTTGTATAGTCATATGAATCTTGTTTAGTAGAGAAGAACGCATATCCTTGCTTACTTTACTTACTTAGCTGGCTTGTTACAGAACGGTTGTTCCATAAGCCGAGCTTAAAAAAGATTTCCAAGCGCGTCGGTCTTGTGCGCAAGTCCACCAGTTTGGAAGACCACGTTCCAAGATGTTGTTTTCTACTTGGTCTTTCCATCTAATTCGTGGCCTTCCCCTTCTACGAGAACCATCCGTAGGCGCATTTTTATATGCCTTTTGAGCTGGAGCATCTTCTTTCATCCGCACAACATGGCCTAGCCACCGTAGTCGCTGCAGCTCAATACGACTGACTATGTCGATGTCTGCGTATAAATTGTACAGCTCGTGGTTCATTCGACGCCGATATTCACCGTCGACGTAGATCGGCCCGTAGATCTTTCGGAGAATTTTTCTCTCAAACACCCCAAGCGCTGCCTCATCTGCTTGCGCAAGTACCCATGCTTCTGATCCATATCCTTGCACCTATCTTATAAAAACAAAGACTTGCCGCAAGTAAACTCGCCTAATCTAAATTGGGACAAACGGAAATTGGGGAATTAAATTTTATGATATTTACATTAAGAACAAAATATTTAATAAACTATAAAAAAAAAATATGTTTTTACTTTTATTTTTTTGACGTAAAAAGTGTTCAATGTGCATACCAACCACTCCACTCTCTTCTGCACGCCACTGTATGTATTTTCAAAATTTTGCAATATTTTCCATATACATATGATTATGAAAATGTTTGCAACGGCTAGTTTCGTTATATATTACAATAAATGATATTGAATAAGACTATTTGATATCAATCAATTAAATGAAAAATAAATAAATGTGAAATAATTCCGTGAGGAGTAATTTTAGATTTTCTAAATTCAAAGTATTAGCCGTCATAAATACGCTACACAACAAACGAGAATATAAACAAGCAAGAGATTCCCCCACATCATTCGGACAATAAATTGTAAAATACATTTCTCACAGTACAAAAATATACCAAGTATTCATAAGATGACGTTTGTCTAAAAATAAATCTGTGAAAATGCTTATGGCCATACATTAGAGTGTGGCGGTATGAAAAATATGTGTGCCCATTTCTCAGTGGCATGGGTCGCAAATGGCAGATATTTATATCTGTGGGGTTTAGATGTAAGATGGGTTTGCCCTTCTGTTAAATAAATGAGATGTATAAATTTTTATCATAATTAAATTGTTAAATGCAATCTCAATTTTAATTAGAAACCAGACAAAAGACAAACGAAAATCGACTCCGACTGATCGAAAAAGTCTACTATTTTGCCGGTCACATACCATTTCTACATCCAAGTTAGCGATTACGCAATTCAACACTAGATTATGCTTTGCAGGGTAATTTTCAAAACGTACCTATGATCGGAGTTATGCGTTTCTATAACATAAATCTATTTACACAACATTGGTGTAATTGGTATTTGGTATTGTATTTACGTACTTATTCAGAAATTAGACTTTCTTTGTTAAAATTCGGTCTCTTTTGCCTCCTACGTATGTAGGCATACACTAATATACATGACTATGACTCGCTATTTTGTTGATGTTCTCGAAATAATATTTGGTACTTTGTGCCGAATGCATATTGACGAAAACATTCTAATATAAATTTGTTGGAAATTTTCGAAACGAAATTATTAGCAGAAGAAAAGCTGACCTGAAAACACCTGAGTTGAGAAGATCTATTTCGGAGAAAACACAAGGTAGACATTGAACAGATCACCAGCGCGGATAGATATTATTCTCGGCATACAATTAACAAGAACTTTTTAGTTTTGATAACATTTACTGGAAATATCAGTTTGTTATCAGTTGTGATTTTCTTTTTCTTTCATTATCTGCTGTAGATGTCCGTAGTGCCCCTAATGTTTCGTGATTGGTGGGATGAGCTTGAATTTCCAACGCGTACTTCGCGCCTGTTGGACCAACATTTTGGGATGGGCTTGAAGCGTGACGATTTGTTGTCATCTGTATGGAATAGTCGCCCAACTGTGCTACGATCAGGTTACTTGCGGCCATGGCAACGCACTACCGGTTTGCAGAAGCTGGATTCGGGTTCCACCCTCAACATCAATGAAGAGAAGTTCGAAGTTATTCTCGATGTTCAACAATTCTCACCCAATGAGATTAGTGTTAAAGTGACCGATAAATTTGTGATTGTCGAAGCTAAACACGAAGAGAAACAGGACGAACACGGCTTTGTATCCAGGCAATTTACTCGACGTTATATGTTGCCCAGTAAGTATAATAAGTACATATGATTCATCTATACTTAAATATTTCGTAGCCCATTGAGATGATATAAATATCAGTCCATTTTGCTATGAATGATTTACATACATATATTCGTTTCGTTTCACAAATATAACAAAATATTGACCAACAATAATTTTTAGGTGACGTCAATCCCGACTCTGTAACATCATCGTTGTCGTCCGATGGTCTCTTAACAGTTACCGCTCCCATGAAAAAGTTACCTCCCCCCGCTACTGAACGCGTAGTACCAATTTCCCAAACTGGACCATCGTCCAAAGAGGATAAGGAGAAGAAAATTGAGACTACAACAGCTTAAACTAACAGACCGACTACTGTGAAATCTTTTTAACAGACTGCTTCTTTTATACATTTATACACAAAAATGTTTTGGTATTTTCTTAGTAACGTTTTTATACTTATTTCTTTTTTAATAAAACCGTAATCTGTGTAAGTTATATTTCATTCATATTTGAATAGAAAGTAATCCAAAGCAAAATATATCAGTCGTTTATTTTGAAAGTGGTTTAAGTCCGTTTTTTTCTTACAAAGGTTTGCGTTTGAATTGTTTCAAAAATATTGTTAAGTGGTATTATTTTTTTTTGTGCCCTTGAACATGTTAGAATATATAACGTGATATGTTTTGTAAACGTTTCTAGAAATCCAAGATTAATATCAACACCTAATATGGACTTAAATCACTTTCAAAATAAACGACTCATATGCTGAGAAGGAATGTACTAAAGGGGGCAGGCTTGCCCACTTTAGTAATATTTTTTTGCTTACAATCATTTTATTTTTGCAACTGAGAAACTGTTATATTGAACCAACACACAGTGACCGAAGTCTCTAATATAACGTCATGAAAGTAAATATATAAAATTTAGAATTGTCTTTCATTATTTCGGTAACTAAAACTTCGTTTATACTTTTATTTTGGTTTCTACAGTTTCTCCCGTTTCAATGCAACATTAGTTGTGTCTGTTTACTAGATATTTGGTAACAATTGTTACCAAATGTTGTCCGTTTACCCAAAAATCCAGAAAAGAGAGCCAAGTGAGAGAGCAAGTTCGACAGTTCAACAACAACAAACTTACTGGAGTTTACTGGAAGAATTTTATGCAGTAAGATTTTGCAAACTCTGTCATTTTTGGATCAGCTGTTTTATGACCAAACACAAAAATTATTCAAAACAGGTTTTTAATTTCCAAAATTCAATTTTAAATTAAATTGTATAAAAATTACGGAAAATGGAAAAAATCGTAAGTAATGCAAAGTTTCATTAAATTAGAAACTCTTTCTTCGTATTTTTAGGCAAGTTCCAGAACGAGGGCAATGTGTTGATGTAGGAAGCTTAAATGTTCCCGTAGAAAAGTACCAAATCAAATTTTTCAATGTTAAATGCAATACAAATAATTGGTTTCGTCCTTTGTTGGTTTGTTTATTTTGGCGCAAATAAAAATATTTTCTTGAATCAGCTGTTTATTTGCTGAATCTTACTAAATATTGTCTGTTTACTTTTCTCAGTATTATCGCAAAAGAGAGTAAAAACGGCTTACTCTCTGAACTTACTTACACTTAGAACTTACTGAGTAAATGTTACTGGAAAAGTAACCAGACACAACTATTATGTGTTGCTACATATTTAAAGAAAGATCTTGTCTGTTCCAGAATCTTCAAGAATGTGCAATGTTTTACTACGATAATTTTTTTTTCTTTTATGATATCGAATGAATAGTAAAACCTGGTAGATTCTTAAAATCAGTTGTTACTAAAATAAAAATAATGTGATTTTAATCGCTAGTTGAAATTATGATATAACTATAAAAAATCATTGGAGCACAGCAATACACAATATAAATCAACAACTTAATTTGGTATTCAGTTGTTTGCTATATGTTATTGTTTTTTTTTTTTTTAATGCCAACTCAGAATGTTAAGTCAATTTCGTTATTGGGAATTTTTAAGTAACCAAATAACCAATAAATTTAAAGGCCAACAACTCCTCTAAAATATTCTATGAACTTATCGGGTCCATGTCCTTCAGTAGTAACTATATGCGCCATAGAATACAAATAGTGGGTTGGGCCCATGGGAAACCAGGGCTAGAACCGAGGATCGGCAAATTGCAGGCCAATTTGCACCATCATAATGTTCTTTAAGTCGTACGGACAAGGGCAGTTTTGAGCAGTCCATTATCAACATATCTGTAGACAAAATAAAAATATTAAATAATAAATTGCCCGAACAGTAGTAAATTGTACCATCAATGTATGTTGCCAGCCCCGAAGCCAAAATGAATAAAACCGTTGGAATACTACAACAAGGTAAATGCAAAAAAATAAAATCAATTGATCTCTACGATAATGAAATAAAAATATTTTATTGTTCGGATGTGGATAAATCTACAACTAAAAGTAAATCCAATAGTGAGAGTGATTTCTGTGAGAGATACACTTTTTCACAAGGAAATGAATTTTATTCCCAAAAGTGGATGATGGGATGAATAAATAGTTACAAAAATTTTATCAAGAGAAGGAATGCTAGAAGTCACTAACATAATATTAAAATGTGTGGAATTTTCACCCGAAAACGGGATCAATCATTCGAAACCCTAAATGGAAATCACTGAATGATCCCTATTATATTGTTACGTTCTTGGGTTTTACTAAATCCCGTGTAGACGTTGTTTTATTTCCCGATACAATTCGTACCAAATAAAACGCAGGTTCTTTCGGATTACGATTATTACAATGATTTTATTCACACAACTTTACTTTGCACTTTACTTTACTCGACGGTTTCAATTCGCGATCTGATTCACAACTGACTCACTGCCTTTCCATTCCCTCTATTTATATGAGCCCTGCCTGTCGCTACAGAAGTTTCTAGACGATCTGGTAACACCTAGATCACGAACAATCTACCAATGCAACAAACACATTGAGTAACAATAACAACAACAAACTTACTGAGTGAACAATAACAACAACAAACTTGAGTAAACAAACTTACAATAACAACAACACATATACAGGCGAGGGAATAACAAAGAAAGAGGAATAACAACAACACATATACAGGCGAGGGAATAACAAAGAAAGAGGAATAACGTTTAACAAGAATTGTACGACAATAACAAAATAGAAAATGAAAGAGGAAATGGAAGGATGTAGAAAAATCTATACAGTGGTTGTTGTTGTGAAGTTATTCAAATAAACTGCGTAGTAGAAATTTACGTTACAATTCAAATTCTTAAATTAACGGAATTCATCTAAATTAACTTAAATCTAAAGTTATATTCGTAACATTGCCCCCCGCTTAAGCCTGTTCGTCCCGAATAGGCACAGTTCCCGTTCCGTAGGGGGTCAGCCGCTCCAAATGTACAACTTTCATCTTCGACCTGGGACTGTCGCTCCTCTGGATGCGATAAACGACGTCATTTATTTTCGTGACAATCTTGTAGGGTCCTTCCCAGTGCGTTTGCAATTTGGGGCATAGTCCTTTCTTTCGTTGTGGGTTGAACAATAGTACCAGTTGCCCTTCTTGAAACCCATCGGTATTTGCCGCTCGATCGTACCTTGCCTTCATGCGGTTGCTAACCATTTTTATTCGATGTCGGACTGCATCGTGGACTTTACTGAAAGAGTTTTGGCTGTCTTCATCTTGGTTCACATCGTCGTTTGGGGTAGCGCCGAATATCAAATCGCCAGGTAGCTTTAATTCATTTCCGAACAGAACTTTGGCTGGGGTCCGGGATGTGGAATCATGAATGGCCGATCTATAAGCCAATAAAAACTTCGGAATATGCTCATCCCAGTCTCGTTGGCCACTGTCCACCACTTTCCGTAGATGTTCTTCAAGGGTGCGATTGAATCTTTCCACCATGCCATCTGATTGTGGATGTAGGGGCGTCGTTCTGGTTTTCTTAATTCCGTAGGAGTCACACATTTCCTTGAAGATCGCTGATTCAAAATTCCTACCTTGATCGGAATGAACCTCAGATGGAACACCATAGCGACAAATCCAATTTTTGCTGAACACATCCACAATTGTCCTGGCTTCTTGATTTGGGATAGCATAAACCTCTGGCCATTTACCGAAGTAATCCATGACCACTAAGACATACCGGTTCCCAGAGTCGCTTGTTGGGAACGGTCCAGCAACATCCATTGCGATTCTTTCAAAAGGGGCTCCTGAATTATACTGCTGCATGTAGCCTCGACTCTTCCGTGTTGGACCTTTAGCCCTTATGCACCTTTCACAATTGGCGATCCAGTCGGCAATGGATTTTTGACAGCCGACCCAGTAGAATCTCTGTTTCACCTTTTCAGCGGTCTTTGCTATGCCAAGATGTCCTCCACTTGGCCCATCGTGAAACTCCGACAAGACATCTCTTATTTTGGAGTCTGGGACGACGATCAAATTCCGGTGAGATTTACCGTCCTCACTTTCCCATTTGCGATATAGGCATCCATTTTTTATAAGCAGACTGTCCCACTGGGCCCAATAGGATTTTAAAAGAGCGCTTTCGGAGGTAATTTCTTTCCGACTAGGTCGCTTGCCCGTTTCTATGGCCGAAATTATTTTGCCCAGAATGGGATCTCTTCGTTGTTCCGTCGACCAATCTTCACCCGACTCAAACTGCAATCGTCGGACATCAACGATATTCTCTTTGCACTCGGCCTTTGAGCAGTGCCTGTATTCTACTTTGCATGGCCGACGAGACAGGGCATCAGCATTACCGTGTTTTCCGCCTTCTCTGTGCTCGATTCGGTTTAACGGTGACTCATTGGTGGACTGTTGAGCCATTCTTCTACCATCTTTCGTTGGAGGTGGTGACGATGACCTGGATCGTTTGCGCTTAGCTCTGCATTCGCGCGCAATATGACCTGCTTTATCGCAGTTGTAGCATCTAACCCTGGGCTTAGTCATCCCTACTAACTTTGTTTCTTCTATTACCCGCCTCATGGCGTCCTTGATCAAGTTAACGAGAGATTTGTGTTCGCAACATTCGGTCTCCAGTTGGCTAATCTTGTGGGTCTGGGGCTTAACAATAATTCTTGCCGTCTCTTGGGCAAGGGCAAACGACACAGTTTCGGCAAACGACGCTTTTGGTGACGCATATGTTGCACATTTAATCTCAGGGTCACGTATGCCATTCACAAAGGTTTCGATTTTCATACGGTCCAGCAATGGGTGATTCTCTCCTGGATACGACATTAGCACCAAACGTTCCACCTCAGCTGCAAAGTCTTGTAACGTCTCGTTTGCCCTCTGTACTTTTCCCCTTAGTTCCATAAGGTAGATGTTTTGTTT